TAAATGTGATGAATTATTTTTAATAATATTACAAACGGGTTTTTTTTTTTTTTAATTACGATTCAACTATATTTTCTGAAAATTAATAATTATGACGAGGACACTTTAATCAAAACGCTAATAAGAATATAATTATTTTTGAAAAATGATGTTTTATTTCAAAATGGTATTTTATGCAGATAGGTAGGTTAGAAATTTTATATATTAATAATATTTCTTAGCCATTATTTTAAATTATTGGTTTTTTAATATAATATGCACTGAATACACATATTTTTAACATTTGATAAAATAAAAATGACATTTGAATGACTTTAACAAACCTAAACGAAATATGATAATTTCAAAACAAAAACATACGGCTCGGTTGTCTGCTTTTACCGTTGTGGTTTGCTTAAAATATTCGGCCAGTTATAACAAATAGGTACATAAATACTGCAATTGATATTCCATAATCGTATTGTTTTTATTAAACCAAGATTTGAGAACTGTCGGTGATCAGCAACAATGCAATACAACACTGGGCAGTTCAACAATTTTCTGAAACGAACAGAGTGGCCTGTGAACAATATAATATTGTATAATGAATAGGTGTACATTTATTCGGAATCATAAACATAAATCGTCAGCGTTTACCGAAATATTTGTTACCTACTACTATTGGGCAACCGGATGGCCGTTTAATGAAACCGAATAATAATTTTCCCACCGCGATATGGAATATACCTATTGCCTATGTAATAGAGGTATAATATGATATTGCGATAAAATTATAAAAAACAATATCGCGGTTAACACGCTCAAGAACGGGGTCACGAGGCTGCCATTCTCACTGCTGTGGCCCAACTACTGTTGATTTTAATATTATGTACGCTCGTTCGGCGTTCGTAAACACATTCGTCTGAGTGCATAGCATTATATTATCTATATTCATACAACATATATGTAATGTATGTGTGGAATATTATTGTAGTTTCTTTTGCAGCATAATAATTGCACACAGCACACGCGACATTGTGTTCGACGGGTCATTGCTCGGACTGCAGGTACAGGTGGTTGTTAACTATATTGTATTTTCATTTTTAACACAAACATATTATACACACACCGTAGGCACTAGGTACCTGTTCTACCTACAACTTACTGCCGCGTTGCAAATAAATAATAATCAAACACAGTTGTTGCACTTTCGGACCCGGCGCGACCTGTAATATTATTATTATTGTTTTCAGAAAAATATGATACGTATTATGAGCACGAATGCACAATATATTATTATATTTGTATTGATACAGGTTCGGATGACGGATGTTCATATATTATGCGACATATTTTACTATTTCTCTATAGTCAACTGCGTCAACAATCATCGAAGATATTATTTATTGTCACAAACTTTGGCGGATAGTCGATTTGTTTATTTACGTGGTTTGTTGTCCAAAACTCGATAACGACACGCTTATGTACATAATATTAATATATGTATATATAGATAGCCAGTAAAGTATTTAATGGCCGAACCAGAACTGCGAGTCCATACTTCATTGATTATTCATAACATTGGTAGTAATATTATTATCGTGGTTATGCCAGATGATTGACGAAGTATTATTTAGTATTATTATTATTACAATATGGTTAATTAATATCCTTGTATTGAGTGGAATTTATTGATTTATATTCGAATATACGATATAATATGTTCATTTATAGTTCATATTTTATCATATAAATATATAATATGATATATAGTATTATAGAGTATAACGAATTGTATTTTTATATATTATTGTAAAAGCAAGGTAAATCTCAATAAATTTGAAGTATTCGTAATACCATAAATCATAATATTATGCGCATTTGATAATAGTATACATTGTAATAAATAGGGCATACATCAACTGCGCAGACAATTTCAGGTAAAGAAAGAAAAATTATTGGATAGTAAAAATAAAGTCGATCAATATTCGAATGTAATACATTTTTGTATGTCAATTATTACGCCTATAGATTTTTGATGATTACGAATCTGTTTTTACATGTTGGATTCCCTATAGTCTTACCTAAAGTGTGCCAATCTAATTTATGGCGTTGTCCTCGAAAGTATACGGTACGTTTGAAAACTATTATTTTTATAATTTATATAATTTTATTAATTGATGGAGATATAACACAATGTGGACAATTATTATTCGTTTATATTATAAATCCGTAGTATTGTTCAATATAATTCCACGAGTTATAAGAATAAAGTTGTTGTGGCTTGTGATCTCATATATTATGGAAGTCGTTTTAAGTGAAAGTGGTAAAGAATTAATTATTTACCAAAATTTTAGATTCTCTTGTAAAGAACTTACCAAAAAAGGTCGTAAATGGTGATGCGCACAAAAAAGTTGCAACTGGAAGTTGTATACGAGGGTAACACTTCAGTTGAAATGAAGAAATTAATCACGAACATCTTACTCCTAAAAATCTGAAACGGCATCTTATCTAATCAAGTGAATAGGAATACAGTATACGAATTAACGGAAAACCCGTTGAAAATAATAAACAAGAAAATATCTAATAAATTTACAAACAACATTAAAACCGATAGATTCGAAAATTTTGTGACGTATTAACTTCGGTAATATTAACGAATTATAGAATAAAATTATACAAATTAAACAACCAAGGTGGTTTTCGTATTTTATTTTTAATAAAAAAAATAATATTTTATTTATTTTATTTTATTTTTAATGGATGTATACCTTTTTAGTATACCTTTTTTGTGCCGTCGCAATAAATGTATATTATACAGATAGTGTCCCAAATTCGGTGCAGTTGATGAACACCCAATAAAAATATATCAAATTTGCAAATATCATAACTCCGTAATAACTACTTTTCAGGAAGAACAAAAAACACCTCATTCATTAAAATCATTGTTTTTGATTATTGATCTAGACGACATTATTATATTTCATTTGATATCAATAGTTATTTAATAAAAAAATAAATAATATTTTATCAAGAGTTATGGAGATACCACAATATTTTTCTTTGTTGGAGTTGAGTCGGAACTTTGACGACTAATTCATGGAAGAGAAATTGTTTTTTCATACTGAGAATGAACTTAAACAATGTGCTATATTTTTCTAAAATCACCTTTTCTCAGTTATATACAATAATTTCGAATCAAGCCAACGATATACAATATATATTAAACATTTTATCAACTCTGATTTATGTGTATAATAATTTATTTTTATCAAAAATTGCAATGTTTATAAAAACTTTACTTTGTAAACTCGTAATATAATATGATGTATTAAATAATTGAATTTAATAATATATTATCCATAACTACAATCAAAAAGTAAAGTGATTAATAGGGTAATCAGTGGGAGCTTATCAAGCTGCAATATACTATACCTATATAGTATATTGTATTATTATTTGTGTACAAGCGCATTGATGATACTAACGGTTTTATATTTTTATTGAAAAGATACTACATTCGCATATTGTGTTGTTTCCGTTTTACAAATGTAAGATATGGTAAGTCTTAAGTTCACGATAATCCATTATATTTTGTTATTTTTAAAACCATAATGAATTGATCATTGTTACAAAATTTTAAAAAAGGTAAGATTATTAACCAGGAAATCTCAGAGGCTAGTGTTGATATTTTAATTACTTAAGAAACAAGTTATGACTTATGAATTATGATTATTTTAATTTTTCCAAACAGATTGATTAATTGGTTTTATAAAATTTAACATTTTGTTGTCATTATCTCGTTCTCTGGATCTGGTTCATGAGTTATCTATATATTGGTGATGCCTGGTGCCTTATATTATGTGGAGTTGGAAACAGTGAGGAACATAATATTATATATTATCGTATATAAATAGTATTCGGTTAAAATGTGTTGTATTGTTAAGTGAACAGCTAAAGATTAACGGGCTTCTTCTTTTTACAATAAGAAATCAATTTAAATTTGTATGACCTATCTAATAATAATTGATTAATGTGTAGCAATTACAAATAAATCATTTAAAAATATAAATTCGATGCACTTATTTATGAAATAAGATAGTTATGTTATAATATAAAATTACCATAACCATATTCCTCTTCTGTTAACTGACTGACTAAATAAATACGTTATCCGATGAAATCTATCGATTTATTTATTTAAGTACGTACACACTAAACACACAAACAAGTATCAGCTATTGGCTATTTGTTTTTTGTACGTAGTTTTTTCCTACAGAAATAAAGTACCAGGTTAACAGTTAAATAATTGAAATACAGTACCTAAATATATGGATATATAATATTATTACCACGGTATTTTATCAGTATTAATCGTATATTTACCCAACCGGGTAGTGAGCCGCAGATGTGCCAAACCCGAGATAATATCGTGGATGAAAATAGTCATAACAAAATGGGCAAATATTTTATACGTACGTTAATCGAATCGAGTCCTCACTGTCTGCTCGTTTTGTCAAAATCGCATAGTTATACTTATGCATTTTTTATCAGATGGCAGACACATATTAATGTAATCGACAGTTAATGTATTCAATTCGCGCGAAGGTCGGTACAAAAACCTACGGAACCACAATACTTAAAATCGTTCTGCTGTATACATTACTTAGTAGGTGTAATGATTACTACATTTGTAAGTTGATGGAATCTGTGTTTACATAACAATAATAAAAATATAATAATAATGCCCATTATCATCAGTATCAGAATGTTACAATAATATGCGCTGCAGATTGGTCTTATAATATTATGGTAAAATGACAAAATACAAGCAAAGAAAAGAAAGTCAACCTTCGTCGACCTTGGTCGTTTTGACTTCACAGCGTCGAGGTCTATTTGACTTACCGGGGCTTCAATTGACAGTAAAATCTGTCGAAACTTGCAATATGCGATTCTCACACGCGGTTACTTCATACACCGTGCGAATTTTCCATCGCTTTCGCACGCGGACTCGCCGCCCGGCCGAAGTCTATTTAGGCGACCCACACCGCACCGGCCATTGTCAATACACCCGGAGCAATGGTCTCGTCCACAACCGTCCTGCAGGTATCTATCTATCCGCGGTCTGTCCGTGAGTATGTCTGTCTGTCTGTCCGCCTGCCCTTCTGTCTGTCTGTCTGCCTGCCTGTGTCTGTTCACCACTGTAACGTTACGTGTCCACAGGTACTGTTTCTGGCATGTGCAGTGGCGTCCGGAGAGTCGCCGGGCGCGGAGACCGACGTCAAGCGGCCCGAACCTGTGTCGGTGACTGTGGCCAACGACGACTCCGGTCGGCGCTCGACTACGGCCACGCCGCCGGCCACACAGCCAAAAGACGTGTCCATTCTCAAGCAGATCAACAAGGTGAACGACGATGGTTCGTACACGTTCGGGTACGAAGCGTCGGACGGCAGCTTCAAAGTGGAGACTCGTGACGTGGCGGGCAACGTGAAGGGCATGTTCGGGTTCGTGGACGACGCGGGGCGGCTGAAGCGCGTATCGTACTCGGCCAGCAACTCGTCCGGTTTCCAAGCGGCCGGCAGCGAGTCTCCACGGCCGTCACCGGGCCCGACGGCCCCGTCCGCGACGCAGACAATCGCTGGTCGGAGACATAAAAAGAAGGACGGTGGAGCCGGCGGCGACGAGTCGGACAACGGCAAGTCGGCGGCAGTTGGAGTGAAAAAGGTGCTGGTGTCCAAGCGACCCGTCGTGGTGGCCGCGGCGCCAGATTTAGGGACGGACACGGAAAATGACGCTGACGACCGGCAACGGCGTGGTGGTAACGACCTGCGCAGACAGTTGCCCAGAAACGACGACGGAGACGCGCCCGACGTGTACGGCGTGCACGGCAGGTCCAGCCTCCAGGAGTCGGGACCGGTGTCTCCCGTCGTGTCAGCGCTCATGTCCGAGCTGATGCCAGTCAGATCGTATGGCCGTCCGACGGGACCACCGCCGCCGCCATCGCAATCGCCGATTGGACATGACGACGCCGTCAGCACCAGACGGGCAACGCAAGAGCTGCAAGAAGATGAATACGAAGACGGACAACAGTACGGTGGCCCAACGACGGTTCAATACCGCGGACGGCGACCCCCCGCCGCGCTGTACCAGCAGCGGGCCTCGTACCCAACGATGGCTGCGGCAGCGGCGTACCAACAACAGCGACCGGTCGCGTACCTCGCGCCGCTGCCTCAGCGCGGTCCCAGTCTGGTGGCTCTGCGGGACGAACTCATGGAGCTCATACTGTCGTTCGTGCAGGCGCGAGTTTCGCAACTCGTGTCCGTCGCCCCTTACCCCGCGCCCTCTCCCTACCCGATGCCTTATCAGCAACCCAACTACTACGTGCCCAGTTACTATCAGGGGCCCCGAATGCCCGGTCCGACGACAGAACAGGCGCAAGAAACATCGCCGATAGTCACACAGACGCTCAAGGACGGACTGATCCGGATGTTGTTGTCCACCAGTCCTCGATACGACCCGGACAGGATCGGCGAACGTTCGACGACCCGGCTAGCATACCGTAGTACCACCCCGCAACCAACGCCTGTCAGGAGCGTGCAGATCATCAGTGGCGGCGGTGGAAACGACGACGATGACCGGGTGGCGGACAGCAGACCAGTGACAACCGAAATTCCCGACTAGAACCGCTGCAGCCACTGCATAATTATTGAAGTTGCTACCAGCGAGTAGGTGTGTGAAAAGAGTACAGTTAATTATTATATTATAATATTTTTGTTGTTATCACTATTATTATTATTATTATTAGGTATTTAGGTATTAATTTTATTACGAGCATTATTATTATTACTATTCAATATGTTTTTTTTATCAATAAAATCGGTTTAAAAATCGTTTATTGTCTACTCAATCGCTTATATTAAAACAAAATTGTTCTATCATGATATGATAACAAATTATTGTTTCAATAAACACTTGAATAACGGTCTGCTACAATTACCTAAGCAATGGTGTTTAATATCATTTTTTATCATACATTTGCACTTTACAGTCTCAACAGACTACAATAATAAAATGCTAAGCTACAGAAATGAATAAATATTTGCTGAACAAGCAATATTTTATTTTATATGCAACAGAAATGATATTAAACATCTTTTTATCGAAATAATACGTACATTTATTATATTATGAATTTAGTTTAGTTTATTTTCTTCGTTATAATGATCTTATATTATTATAACTTACTATAAGGAGTTTATATTTTTAGGAAATTACTATTTAAGCAGGTACATATTAAACTATTTTAACTGTATATTTACACTATTTGGTATGATTTAAATTATTATCATGTTTTTATTACCATTTTTTGGAGGGCCATACATTTCTCTCTTACTTTTTTGTTTCAATATTGTTTCTGGTATTCGTTTCTGGTATTCGTCATTCAAATACGATTCGGTGTAGGCACATGCCGTTTGTTATTTACCGATAACAATATTAAGCAATCATTAAAAAATACATCCCCGAATCGGGAAAATTAAAAAATAACATTATTAACAAAGTTGAATTTACCATGAAAAAATCATCTGCTTAAAAAATTACAGTTGCAGAGGGTGGTTTCTATATTCTATGTGGAAAAAGGAGACATGCAAATTTCTACTGGGTTTCCAAATGATTCCGTTTACATATAGGATTCCGTCCATGTGAATGGAGACCTATGTGTTGATATGAAATATATCGAAAAAGTTCATTCATTTTCTATCAAGGGTGTTTTGCCATTTAGATATGAAATTTACGTTTTTAGTTTTTGATGTGGATGCATTGTTAACATAAGTTCATACCTCAGCTAGAAAGCTTACCTAAACGTTAAATTAAATTTTAAAATATCAAAATTTATTATGGAAGTGAATAATTTGAGCACTAAAAAATATAGTGATTAAAATCTATTATTACAAATTTTAGCTTTAAAGCGTATTGTATCTATATGACATATGGCTATACAAAATAAATAATATACCTTTTTGGCGCTCTTGGTGGACAACACACTGAATTAAAAGCCTTAAAATAAAATTACAACTCACTTTTCGACGCTGAGTGACTACAGCACTACACCTACACCTTTTTATGTTCATCTTAATCGAGATTCGAGACAATGCCTTTCTTGACTATTTTAATTATGATCATCATATTTCAATGTGAACCAATCCATGGTGTGGCCTTCTGCGCGAATGTTCCCTGATCAGCTTTGCATTGAAACCATTTTCAAAAACTGTCCTTCGATTCATCAAAACCAAGTTTAATTTTAATACCACTTTAGCTTATAGTGATAAATTGTATTGCATCTTGTTAAACCTGTGATAAATTTGATATCTTATCTCCTATTATACTTCCCAGTATTCACTGCTTTAAAATTTAAATTGATTATAGTAAATTTTTCCATGGATGCACCTTTCAAAAACTAAAAGTGTTTCTCCTTTCTCTTTAACATGTCATAGACCATATTTCATACAGATATACCATTCATATTATTTATTATTATTAATGAAGAATTATTACGAGAACAAAATTTTTTTTCACTTCTCATAATATCATAACTCAAGTTTAAACATTTTGACCTTACGACCTGCTATATAATATTCATTCCAATAATTCACATAAGCGTTTGAGCTGACAACCAAATTCAATTAAATAAATGTATGTTATAATAGGTACCTAAATACTACAATAAGTATTATTAGGTTTTACTTAAGTAATTCTACTTATTTAGACCTCTATTTTTAAATATTTTCTTATAAATTCAATATATTATTCAATTTAAATTGATCAGCATTGTGCATCATACATTTTCAATATCTTTTTATTGCTGTACCCTTCGAACTACACTTTTAAGTCAAGCCAAGCATCTAGCCCAATGGTCATAACGATTTTGGTATCAAATCACTGAGCAATAACAAAAAATATATCGTAGTATATAATATATCGTAACTTAATATATACAAAGTTATTCCAATATAATTGGTAATATATAATAAAGTATTATATTGACTATAGTTATTGTATACCATAGTAAAATAAGTTCAAACTTTCTAGACTATATTTTTCCCTATTTGTTTTTTAGTTATCAAACTACCTTTTTAAGAAAAGTACTAATTGTTGTTTAATTTTCTTTTCAACATCAAATACGTTTAAATTATAATTAATTTCTTTGAATTATAGGTATGATGCGTGGATCGAGTGCTTTTAAAGTTTGTTTTAATGTATTTGACCATTGTTTAGGAGCTTTTTTCGATAATACACTTGCCATGTAAAAATGAGAAATTGAGAACTGACACAAGAGTATAATCATTACATTGGAAAGTTTAACAACACAGAATACTTAATGAAGATAATATGATGTTAAAAGGTTACACCATATTATCAAAAAATACATTTTATTTTAAAACTATTCTGTCAACGTTTAATGCATTAAGATATTTTGAAGAATCAAAAGTCAAAGTAAAACTTTTTTATTTCTTTATTCACTTACAGGAACCCTATGGACCTATGCATAGTGAATATTAAATATTGAACAAAATAATTTGATCTTTCACTTTTACTGGAAACTGAATCAATTATGATGTTTTAATAAACTATAATAATTTGTTATTGATAATGCATTTTGAAAGTCACACTAAGTACTTAACCACACTTGACCTTACAGTATATGCGCTTCAACACTATGAGGAAAAAAGATAATTTTTTAATGTATCACAAATTTTATAATATAATTAATGAATAGTGATATAATATAATTAATGAATAATGATATAATATGATATATGTGGACTATAATATCATACTACCTAGAATCTAACGTTTTTTTTTTTTAGTTTGATGATTACCTGTGTAATAAGTTTATGGTTTTAGTTCAATGGGAGACTACAAATTACAATATGTTTTTAGTTGATGGAAAGGATTTAAAGGTTGTGTATTTTATAATATTGGTGATGACAAATTTCGAGTAAAAGTACAATAATATGTTTAAAAACAGCTTCCTATATACTAGTAATTATATAACTTTAAAAATGAAATTAGTATCACAATACATTGTATGCATACATTTTAGTTCTTATATTTTATTTCATTTTCACATTAAAAAATGTATGAACATTTAAAAAAAATTGTTTGTTGGACTACTTGAGAATTTAAGATATACTCATAGATCACCAGTTGGGAACTGCGGGTTTGACCAAAAATTAAATTGCGTAGTTCCCTTTGTTTAATAATTTACTGTGTGTTCAATTCTCAATTATTTAAATTTCCTTCATAAAAAAATCACTAAAACAAATATTGAACGTTTAATTAACCAAAACTTAAACATATCAAAACACATTTAGCATGTATTTACTATAAAATGTAGGAAATAGTGTTGTATATGTATGTGAATATTTTCTATAAAATTATATTTTACGTAGGATCATCTACTAAAATGTATATTATACGAGTAGCTGCTGTATGATAAAATATTAAGTTTGGTAATTGTTGTAATTAGTATGATCTAACTTTGAATATTAAAGTAACTATTTAAATAAACAAGATGGCAAGGTCAATAATACAAATGACGAATAATACATTAGGAAAATTATAAATAAATAATGAAGATTCAATCTTTAAATATGTAGCAAGCTAGTAGGTATTATAGTAATAAAAAATATCATGATAATGTGTGAAACCCTAAAAATAGTACCTAGTATCTTATTAAATAATAAAATGTCTTCCATAGAAACGTATTTACGAGAATAGGTGATGCAAAAAATAGAGCCAATAAATTTCTCAATTAGTTCAGAATTAAAATAATAATAATTAATAAAACTATGATGCAAAAATATAAAGCAATAGTATCTACTTAAACATTTATTTTTAAGATAAATTTATTTGCATTTGCAAATGAATTTATAAATAATAATAAAAAAAATTATTTTGTAGTCAAATGTGTGATATGATAAAAAATAATGTTACGTATGGAAGATGTTTTAAAGTGTCATATTGTTTAGTGGTGCAAGATACATAGACACCTGCTAGGGATAGTTACCAACACTACTAACCCTCCCCCCAAATATTTTAGTTATTAGCCATTAGATTACGCTAAAAATTGTATACTCACACGTCACACCACTTCTTGATTCGAGTGTAACCTAAAATATTAGGATCATGCTGAAGATGCATTGGAAATGTATGGTAAATTACCATATTTAACTTATAGTAAACAATATAAATAATTGTGGTCTTAAGTGATTAATGCGTATTTTATAGAACAATCTCTATCACCGTGGGTATAGTAATCGTTATTGACCATTAAACACAATGAATGACGCATGGACGGGAGAAATGTGGTTTGTTATTATACGTATAAATTAGGTACTAAACTCGTATTAAGACGCGACCTCGCGAATCGTTTTATTGGACATCGTTATACTCGTGCAGTTATGTTCAAACATTTATGTACAAGTATCTAGGTATCTTATTAAAGTATAATATAGTTAGCCAAGATATATCGTGGTAAAGTATAAGTGGTTCACGGAAGGAACAAACTTCATAATCATCGAAAAACCATAATTATAGACATACGTATCATACCGGTGATTCTTTTATCACTGAACACTCATTATATCAAACAAATAACTAAATGTTTTTGAAAATATACATATTTGTTATCCTCAAAATTGTATTTTATTTAATTTTTCGAAACTTCAGCCTTTTTTTACTGTCTCAAAATTATCTAAGTGTTTTCTATGGACGGAAAAAGTGCACATGGCATTAGACCAATAGCTAATTAGTTGCATAGTATATGACTATACATTCTAATGCTGTGGCGTATATAAATTTATCGGGCTATTACGCTTATGTAATGTTTGTTGTTTGTATTATGTTTATCATTATGGTATTGTCAACTGCCGTGTAAGTTATTCTTAGACCTTAGTATTAGCATATCCGGTATTCTATTAATTTTATTTGCGACTATTCATATAATACCAATGTTCAGGTTAGGTCGTTAAGTAAATTTGTAAATGTATTGTTCACATCATACGCTTCATACTCACGAGTTAAAGAATTGCTACAAAAACAGTTTTGATTCACTTAGTTTGTACGTATAACTGACATAATATTAATGGTCAGATACAATTATTATTATACAGTTACTAGAGTCATATTTAATCTCTACGTCATGGTACATGAATATTGAATTATAAAAATGGATTAACAACTTTTAATGTAAACACTTTCGTTTTGCCTATATTTTTTTTTTTTTTTTTAACTACTTAGGTCATTAGCCTAGTACTGTGTGGGGAGGAACAGTTGGTTGGAACACGGTTGTATGTGTGGCAGGGATATGTTGCTAAAAATCCGAGTGGTCACCCATCCGAGTGCTAGCAACGAGTAACGACGGTCGGTGGGTACGCTCAGAGCGTCGCCGCTATTGAGCATACGACTCTCGCCAAGCCGCTTTCCCTATAATTGTTAGGTATAATTAATATGGTTATTGTTGGAATCATTTACAGATCTCATTCCTCAGATAATATAAAACTGAAGATGTAACAAATATCTTGGCATATACAAAAAAGAAAATAGTTCATCTGGTGATACATATTGTAACTTATAAGTACACATGTAATAAGTATATTTAATGGTTTTAAAAGTATTAGAAAAAAACCAATTTTGAAGCCATGTGCTTCGTACACTGTTTACTATAGCGTGTAATATATTTATGTATATTATAGTATTTTTCAAACTTAAAGTGCTCAAAAATATATTTAAAAAATAATAAAATGTTGAAAAAATTATACATTTTATTTTTAAATATAAATTTTTTAGCACTCAATGTTTTAAAAAATACTACAGTTTTATATTATCTGAGGACTGAGGTCTGTAAATGATCAATTAATGGTAAAAATATTTTGAAAATTTGAAAATTTGATATTTACTGACTAGTTTGGAAAATCCATGTTTTCTACAATTCAACCTTCAGTTGAGTTATTAATGTGGTTGCCACAAATTAATAGGTATAAGTCACGGTTCCACTCTCAGAATTGATAAAGTAAGTGAACAGAAATTCGTTTTTTACAGTCTGATGTGTTAATAATTGTTACTTCCCACTATCATACAATATATTCCTCTCTCTAATGCTCACTCATACATTATGTAAATTTTTTGAGTCTTTGATTTGAAGCTAACAAGTCATAATATATTGATGTCTTACGATAATACACTCGCCCGGACCCGGCCACCCATCCACCCATTACTGAGATGAAGCAATTGTTTCAAGTAATCCTCTATCCTGCTGTTAATAAATTAAATACATACATACATACATACATACATACATACATACATACATGCATACACACATACATACATACATATATACATTATACATGCATACATATATACATAAGCATTTATACTTAAATATAAATAAGTATTGAAAATTATAGTAACATTATAACTTTACTGGGTCATTTACTCAAGAAATTTTTCTTTACTCATTATTACAACAAAGATCTTATAAAATCTAAATGCAAATTTACCATACATTATTATTTATTGTTATGCATAGACTTTTTACTGACAAAATAAATATACAAAATATAAATTATCTGATTTTATAAATCTGTAAGATAATAAATTAGGTGTCCAAATATGTTTATGAGAAATTTTAAAGTCAAAATATTTCAATACTTATCTTACTATTTGAACTTTCTAAGTATTCTATCTAATTATATAAACTACATTATCAAAATAAATACACAAGAAAATTAAATTTATTTGTTATAATTTCAATCATATTAGGTACAATATCAGTAAATCATATTCAGAAACATTAAAATATGTATTGAATTTCCTTGTTGTGTAAGTAGATACCTACGTATAATTGACCTTCACGGACTTTGAGTTAGAATAGTCATAATAAAAACAACTTCTTATCAAAAACTTATTTGACTAATCTTATTTTTTTTATCAATTTATGTACTCGTTTAAACTATATCTATAATATACATCAGTCAATATGAGTAACAAATTGATATTATTATTATTATTATCATCAAAGACCAGATGCCGATCGCATAAACTTTTTACTAACTTTATTTGCATTATATAAATTACTTACCGTAGGTATCGTAATTTATCATAAAAACGTAAAATATTAAGGACGGTATTAATAAATCGTTATTAGTTTAAAAAATGTCTTATTACCATAGTGTACCTACGTAATAGATACTTATACAAGTATATATATATATATATCATTATACCTCCAATATTCCAACTAACCGCGATACATATCCCCACTAAAATTGCACATTGGATTATGTTTTGTGAAACGCGTAGAAAAACTGCTCAGTCGCCGATTTCATTGACGTTCAACTGCATACGTGCAAGTACGCGTTTATCCTACAGTGGCTTAAAAATAAATCGCAGTGTTTAAACCACGTGAGTACGTTAGCGATGGACAAGGAACAATCAAAAAAGCTTCACATACCTTATCCAACAGGTGCGAATTTTTTACCATAATTTATGAATTATTTATGATAAATTATAATATAGTGATAACTGATAACCATATATTAGAAAATTATTTCAAATGAGCCATATTTTGACAATCAATAGAATAGTTATGATTATTACACCTACAGAAACCTATTATGTTTATTACAAATTTGGCAGTTATGTTATGATAAAAATGGTCACTACGGGTACATATCATGATACATGCTGCGTACCTACTCACCACATACCTAATACAATAAAATATTTTGTCACGAAATAGTCATAAAACAACTGTTCAAATTTCCAATGGTCAACATTTTAGACTTATATGGTTGAGCTACATAATCTATGTTAATTTAAATTCATTAATAAAACGGTAAACACTATAACCTGTACCTTAGAGTTATAATATGGCGATTAATGCGTTTATTTTTTATTTTAGTTATAATATCATATAATATGTATATGATATCATAATGGTACTATAAACAAATATCATATTCTTCGATAAATTAGTTTTTTTAGTTTTCATTCCATGGTATAGACTTGCCATTTTGACACCAACAGCATTTCAAACTGTGAAAAGTATAAACCGCATTGAAATCGAAAAACATTCAATACAAAATTAAAAGGCCATTGATAGTTCTTCATTATTCAGCAGAATAATATAATGATACAATACTTCAAAAAGAGACTATTCATTGAATCATAATGCCATTTTATGATAGCTTAAAAATATAAATCACAACCATCTCATTGTTTCTATATTATGTTGAATATTTTTTTTGGGGGGGAGGGGGTTAACATATTTATGGTACCTTGGCTACAATTGTTATTAAAACTTTAAATAACTTTCTCCTAAAAAAATATATTCATTTATCCAGCATTTTTCTAAAAGTTCGCCAAAACATCTGAATCAACTGGTTTAACTCAGCCTTTAACGTTCAGTAGTTATTAACTAATTAGTAATAACTATGTAATTAACAAATTTTACAATCAACAGTCACAACGTACATTTTATTTTTTTAATAACAGTACACTAATTAAAAACCTTTTTTGGTTTTATTGTTAAATATTATATCTAAATGTTAAGAGGACGCTACACCCGTGCAGTAGTTGTCTCCATCTTGCAAACGTAGGTATGGCACAGAACATTTTGGCTCACTAATTTCAATAGTTTCTGGTAGTTTTAATAATAGAAAAATCGACCTATTATCAAAATTTTAGGTAAGAACACTTTTATTCGATGTGTTAATTTTCAAGCGAGATATGGATATTTTGAATTTTTTTAAATTTCACATACCCATTTCTTTGGTTTCTTTGCTTAAAAATAACAATGTCAAAAAATCGCCGACTATTAATCACAAATAATTTTGTTACTTAAAAGTTTGATAATAAGTCAATTTACTCTAATACTAGAACTTTCAGCACACTTTTGAAACTAGTGAACGAAAAATTGCTATGTCGTAACCTTGTACGCTTGTAAGACAAAGACAACAAACGCATGAGTAGCATCCTCTTAATTAAATTAATGAATAATAATATATACCTATCACACATTTATTAAATATATAAATGATTGATTTTCCCAAAATAATAAACGATAGCCCGCAAAATAAAGTGAAAGATAATCATAGTGAAAGCAAAGTGGGGTGGAAAAATAATTTTTCCCTCTGGTGCAAAATTAATAAATGTGACCTGAAATATGTAGCATCAATGGTATTACTTAGCTAGTGGAATAAATAAAACATCCAACAAAATGCAACACACAATACGTAAGATGCCGTACGTATACAAGTAGATTTTATAGAAAGAAAATGGTACGAAAATAGTTATGCACAAGATAGATCTTAACAACAACTATAAACTCCTACTTAATTATTATTAACTCATCAACCACATGATTCAACAATATTTCTTCTTATATTTTTAGCCGTAGGTACTTAATTGTTATAAGTACATACAACAATTTATTATAATATCTTGTTTTGGTTTATTTATCTTTAACTTCCCCCTACTCTTGTGGGTATTTTTAAAACACCTAATGTCCTAATATAGTATTACAAGAGTCATTATACTTAACGCACTTCCACTATTTTCATAATTTTAAATTGGCACTTTTTATTCATTCCAAAAATGACCTCGAATACCTCACTAAATTCAATATTAATATGATTTCAATCTTAGTTTATTTTATGGTGACGTAAACTCAAACCTAAATTTCAGAGTTTTTTTTATTTCTGTGTACATATTTTCCGCACTGTTGAACGTATGTCAAACATAAACACTATTACAATGAGTAGGTATATAATATTATATAATGAGTTGTGTAATACTAGACTTACATATTTCATATTTAAAATAATATTTTTCCACTAGGCAGTTGTCACAAAAATGTAACCCTTTGTTTTTTATATAGATACACTTAGTATATTGTTATGTATCTATACGCATGGACTAAGCTTTATGTTGTAGTTGAGCGTTTGGAATATTTGATCATCACAAATATTATTTTATTAAGAAACTCTTATAATTTTTACAAATCAAAATTTGATCTTAAAAATGGAATTTCTTTGTGAACTAGCATTTCTACGAATAAGCAAATAAGATACTGAGTAATATAATACAGCCCAATGAACGAAAATATTAAACCTGTCAGTAATAATAGAGTATAGGTTGTTTTTTCTTTTTAATTAACAACATATTATATTCTATAATAATAACACAATAATAACTACAATGTTGTTAATCTATTATAAACGTATTAATTTCAAAAAATTAATAGCTTTCAGAAGATACACGCACTGGTAACTTCTTAAGTATACTAAAATTCTTATTTAAAGCAAAAGTAGTTTACTGATAGCGTTTCTTACTTCAGGTAACCAAGGTCAATAGCAAATAAACACGAATACACTATAAAATATCTGGTTTGGTGAGTTTTTATTCTTCCGTAAACTATTATCGTCGATTAGCATAAAAAAAAATACATATCTTACAATATAAGCCAATCTAAATATACATTGCTAATTACATAAATATTCTACGGATATACTATTTGTATCCATTATAATATCTAAATATAGTTATTAAGAATATACGACTTGAATAAAATGTTAATATTTATATCACTACCTACTTATACACACATACAAGATAAAACTGTGAGTTTGTTTTGAGTACTTAGTTAGTCTATTCCATTCAAGCGTTATATTTCGCTCAGGGCCCAAGGAGTGTTGATTTAACTACGTTATGTAGTTAACAGTAACCATTTATTGTACCTAGCTTGTAATGTATCTTCAAGTACATCGATCTATATAGGATAATTTAAATAACTAATAATTTTAGTTTAGATTAAGTTCATTAAAAGTATACTTATAACTACATCACTATATTACGTTAACGCAACTATTTTAAGGAGTTTAAATAACTACTGATTCGATTGTAAAATTTGTAAAAAAAATGCAAAATGTATATGATCTGCAGGCTCGGGTATAAATTGTATACAGTCATCAGTTACGGGATTTCTAATCTAACTCCTACCCTACCGAGACACTACTTAACTTCCCGAATTAGTTATAACTTATAACAATATTTTTAATATTTGAGTTTCATTGTAGGTAACATTCCAAATTAGTTAGGAATTATTAAATATTATCATTAGAAGACCGATAAATTCCTATTATAGTAAATTTTATAAATTAATGCTTATTAGTGCTAATAAATTCAAATTGAATAACAATAAAAGATAACATTTTTTGAGACATTTAAAATGTTTAAATTTATTAATATACTTAGTTCCAAATTTATTTAAATAAACAAAATTATTCAAGGTGTTATTAAAATCAGTTATAACTTATAAGTCATTATGTTTCAGTTAAAATGATAACATCAAAAAGACTCTTTGACAGACCTTAATTAAATAATTATTTCATCAATATATGCTCTAAACCTCTAATACTTGGTACTTATATTTAATGAAGATGCAAATAACTATAGGGTTTAGTTTAAAATTAAAAACCGTTCTAGAATCAACTATTTTTGTTATGTTAGTAATTAGTATTATCAAAGTAATAATTTGATTAATTTTTTGAAAAAAGAATGTGTATCTATTTTTAAAAAAAAATTGTTTTTGATGGTGGAAGGAGGGTGGGGATTATTTATGAATGATAAATATTATTGAGGGTTTAGTTGTTATATTATATTAACTTTAACATAACTTACGATGTTCTAGGTCCACACGCAACAGGATGTATGGAATTGATGACAGAATATTCCGAAGAAGGATGTTTTGCCAGGATATTTTACCCGACTAACATTCCATCTGATCAGTTGGATGTAAGTATAAAATTATCATTATTTATAAATACCATATTACCTTAGTGTATAATTAATAAACATTGGATCTATATAACAATAACATAACACCATTAGGTAATTAATAAATGAAACAATATTTTTTATTCACTTTTACTGCAAAATAAATTACACAGTCCAAACAAAAGTATTGGCATACCTATGAGCTATGACGGCTATTGTTTAATCAAATTAAATCGTCTGTAATAATAGTAAAAACAGTGTCAAAGCTCAAAGGTATCACGGTCATTTTTAGATATACTATTTAAGCAGTGTAATATGCCAAACAGTACACAAATCTCATTCCTAATTTCGTGCAAACAATTTTATTATGTTATATTGCGTTGGATCGGAGTATCGGACTTTGCGTTTTGTCGGCTGTTTAGTACCTACCGAATGCCAGGTATCCATTTAATAAACGAGATTAAAAAGTACTTTTTGAAGCGCTATTTTGAAATATATATTATAGGATATTGTAAGCAACTATTAATAAATATTAACGAAATATACCTATCTAATCTAAACATCGAAATCAAACCAACCAATATAATATCTAATAAAAATATTTTTAAATTCAGTGTTAGTTTATTTGATAACCTACCTATTGTACTATACAAACGTATTCAATTGAACTATGGAACTATTCAACTACTAAACACAATTATTAATATGATTTTTAATTAATAGGTATAATGTATCTTATTAGATAGGTAGGTACCTATCAAAATATATCAACTTTACGTTATCATTTACTGAGATAATTTTTTCATTAGCATGAAATAATCATTTATAGACGAATTACATACTAGTAACTTAACCTACTAACACAGTTTGAATTCAAAATAAAATGTCTATTTTTGTTAGGTTAGGTTAGGTTATTGTCGATACTGATAATATAATATTGGACAGCAAATTTAACGGTCTGGTAGTACCAAATTTTGGGAATAAATTACTCTGACTTCATTTTTAGACGTATAACTTGTAACATAAAGGCGCAATATGTACCTAAGTCATAAAAGGATTTGACAAAATAATCATATTGTTTCTATATCAGTTGAGCAATGAATAAAAATGCATTATATTTCACGCAATCATATCTGTGGTCTGTGGGTTCTAGACTAATGCGTAAATAATATTTATAATTTATTGACCTATTATCAAACTAAGCAATTAAAATAAACTATACGCATACGAGAACTTGTTTGTTCGATTTTCTTATTTAAAACAATATGTAAACATTTTAAATTTTGTTCCTTTTGTTGTATATCACTATGTGAATTACAAAAACAACTAAATCTGCCTATATTAGTTTTATAACTAAAACAATCATGTTAAAGGGAATACCCACATCTTAAGTTATCTTCCTTGCAAACTTACATTATAGAGAATTTGCATTAAACAGAATCCATTCTGTATCGTTAGTCTCTATTTAAAGGTAACAATACATTATTTATGTACCTACTTCCGTCAGTATTTTTTTAAATATTTTAATTTAAATATAATTTAAAAGTATTTTTAGCATCTTACATACCTCTTTATAACTCGCTTTATAATTAAAATGTAAAATAAAAACGATGAGCATAGAACACAGATAATATTCTTACCTTTAAACTTGATAATTAATTAATTCACACTAATACTAATAGTAAAATGCAGTAAAATGTAGTCTCCCGAACGTAAATTTTGAAATGTTATGGCAGAATAAGGCGGAGTAAACATACGAGGTTACGACATCCTCTTAACTAAAATAATATATTTTTCGACTTTAACACAATTAATTGCATTAATCAAAATTGAGCGTTATATGTATACTATTCTATTATTAATTACAGAAATACTCAGATAAATGGGTTCCGTGGATGCCAAATGAAATATATTTGAAAGCATTTGCAAATTCTCTTGGTTTACCTTATTTCATATTCAAATATTTGCCACCAATCATCGGCCAAGGTAATGATTAAATTTAAATTTCCATAAATATAACTTTATCAATGAGTGATGACATTAATGAACTTTAATATCAAACAATAATAATTATAATAACTGAAAGAAATATCAAATTACATGTACCTATTTTTTTATTTTTTTTTTAATCGTTAGTAATTATATTTTGACAATTAATCTGTGTGTACAATAAGTAAATTTCATATTTACAACTAAAATTAAAATCAAACGATGGGTATATTACTACCTAGGCCATACACGTTTAATAGATAAGGTTAGGTTAGGAGCCGGCTAGGATTACCTAGTAGAGTATAGGTAAGAAGTTGGGTAAACCTATTATGCGTCTTATATATATTTATCGTATAATAATAGTATATACCTATCTATTATTCTGTTATTAACTATAGGTAATAATATGTTTAGAGTTATATAATCATAAGCTGTTGAATACAAGAGAGAACGATGTACATAAGCGAGATTATGTGAAATCCAAAAACTATTAATAAGTAGCGGGGTATAGATTACTGTTTGAAGATGTAGTGCCTCTCATGTTTTTAATGTTTTTATGTACCAACCAACTGTACAAGAACTAATGGTGTTCCTAAAAATTTCATCGCTAATTTGTTTCATACTTACAAGTTACATATTACAATCGAATATCATTTTAATTATATACCTATGCGTTACCTACGCGTGTACCTAATATATTTGTCAAGGTATAGGTATCTAAGTATCATAAGCGACAAGCGTATATTATAATAAGTAACGTGTAGGTAACGGCTCCGGACTAATGATAGGTGTAATACGTAATGTTCTCAAAATCATTATTCAATATACCGTCGACGTATTTAGAGAGGGTATAGAGACGAAGCTAACATCCAGGGTGAAATTTTTTTTGTTAGAAAAAATCCGGAGGACCAATAACTGGTTCTTTTTTAAAAATGTTGTTAAATTATGTTTGTACGCTCACGGGTGTTTTCTCTGTCAAACAAATGTACAATATTGCAAAAACTGTTTTTCGCGGGATAGAACCACTAAATCGTAGTAGAGACACTTAAAGTGTACACAATATAGAATATAATATTTTCTGTGTCGTAATATTTTTATTTGCTCAATATCATTACTAATAAAACGGTTTTAGACTTTAAAAATCTAAAAATGTTTACGTTTTCCAAACTTAAATGACTTTTGATATATTGATATTATCGAAAAAATAAAAACGTTCCTAAATATTTGAAATGCTTTTCTATTCATGGGGCAAAATTGGTTTCTAACTTTCTTAGTTATAACTTATAACTGTAACCTTTTTGGTTCTTTCCTACGTGAAACAGTTTTTGCTATGTCTTACATTTGTAAGACGGAGACAACACATGCCATTATAACGTCCTCTTAAGTATCTTTTAACAATTTATGTTCGTTTACACGTGAAAGTGGTAAATATACCAACCATATTTTCGTACTTATGTTATAATATTGAGTTCATTCATGCATATAACATATCGAGGCCCTCTTGCAAATAATCACGGTCAAATTGTGTAAATCTCCCAAAGTGAAAACGTCCTGACAGTGCTACTCATATTATACGTCTTGTAAAAGTATATAATAATATTGGTTTATTCTTATTTCACCGCTGGATTTTTTGTGTCGATAGAACTAATCTTAAAATATGGTCCTTAATAATATGATCAAGTGAGTTGTTTCGGATAAAAAAAAATTTAAAACATTATTATAAACACAGGACAGATAGTTCCACAGTGACAGTTGTATACAAAAAACAAATTAAAAAATAGACGCATGGCGCCACGGGTGTCTTCCTATTTTATAGCCCAGTTTTCTGGGAGCAAGAGTTGGGATGGCCTTAGGTACCCTATATGCCCTTCTTTGAAAAATTATTTACCATAAAAAAACCTCGCATATAAATCGAGTCAGTAACTTTGGAGATTACCACGAACAAAAATAAAGGGACTTTATTATATATATAGTGAGAGGAAGAGAGATAATCTAATTATTATTTATTATTTTTATGATCCTAGTTTATTTTAATATTGGTAGAGTAAAAGCGTAGAATACAAGGGACCTAAGAATAATATAAATACTGCTGTAATATCTTACCATGACGTGCCATCCTTGGCAAAAGAGTAGGTAACTTGTTTTGCCGGGCTGGAAATGATGATGCTCGTAAACAAATACATAATAACAAAATTCGTTCCTCTCGAATTTCATCGTACTTCATATCCACTCGCTAGACACATTCGCAGATGTGAACCTAACGAAAATTCAACGTGAAAAAAATGACTGGAAAAGTGTCGACGACTGTCTCAAAAACTTACTGACTGAAAACGGAAAATATCGCAGTTATCCGCTCGTGAATGTATTTAATACCATAGACAACATGGACCACTGTCGAAATGCCAGAATTGGTTTATACCGTGATCCAAACAGTTTCCGTTGGTATGACTGCCAAGGGCGACCGTTTACGTCACATCCAGCGCGCTACCTGATCCTCAACTTCTCAAAGGTTTTCGATTAAACCGTCATCTCGTCACCGTTCGCGAGTGCGAAAAGTGTTATAGTTATACGATGGGACGATTATAGCGATTGCAACATTCCAACAGAACAAGTCGTATATTACGAACATATTATGATACGTATATTTGCGAACATTTTCACTTCTGGTTCGACGAAACGCGTGACGAGTTTCCAAGGATTACGGGCCGATGCTCTTAGCGCGTCAAGGTAAGATGCACATCTGCAGTCACCTAGAAATATTATTAATAGGCTCCTCAAACTAGAAAGAACGCCTATACAAATGATATTAAGAATTTATTTTGATTACACAAATATAGTGTAAAGTGTTTTAGTCCTCGTAATTAATATATCAACGGGTCGCGGTTGCCAGTCCCACAACACGTAATATGGATTTAACAAGACGTGATTATGACGCGGATACATTTTTTAATTGACGTCCATGAACTTGGCCCACCGACATTGGCATATCAATCTGAAATTAGTACCAAAATTTTGCGAGTAATTTGCGAGAATTTGCGAGTATACTCCTAGAATTTGCGAGTCACGTTTACACATACCAATGCCGAGTGGGCCAACTTCATGTGGCCCACCCACTTCGCCCGATTTACACCAAACCGGTGTCCAAAGCTTCGTTTTGATTTGCGAGAATTTGCGAGTTTGGTCCCCGAATTTGCGAGTTGCCCAAAGCTCAGATACGAGCTTTCAAAGTTCTGAAGTTGGCCCACCCACTTCGCCCGATTTACACCAAACCGGTGTCCAAAGCTTCGTTTTGATTTGCGAGAATTTGCGAGGGCGGTCCCTGAATTAGCAAGTTTTTTAAATAATGACACTTAAATGTAAGTTCTGGTAAATTCGTTAGATACTCAGATACTCAGCTAGGTAACAATAAGTTCTCAAGGTATTCGTATTTAAAATGAGTTGGAATAAATAAACTTATTTTGTTTTCATTGACTTGCATACTAGATACAAACTACAATAATAATTGTTCACGTACCTATATTAATGATTGTTATAATATTGAATAATAATGTGTGACTTACGAACTATTTATATTTTATATCAGTGTCCACTAAATCATAAGCCTAAAAATTTGTGAGATTCACATAAATTGTTATGTTTTATTTCACTTAATTTTATTATCTAAAAACACAACATACATATATACATATTAATATATTATATTGTATGTACATTGTACTTACATATTGTAGTCGTTATTTATAGCCAAAAATTAAATATACCTTTCTAATTCTTAATTTGGCTCACCTATACGATTATTTTTATTATATTGTATGTTATGTTGTATGAAGGCATTAAATTATTACACTTACACATATGTTCAGATAAAAAAATGTAATTCAAATATTAAAAAAAAAAATACTTAAGAAATTATAACAAAAAAAATATCCTTGTTAATTAATTAGCACACAACTGCATAATAGGTTATCCTTACCATTTTTTGATTTTATAAATAATTATATACAATAAAAACTTGTACAAGTTATAACCTTACTCTTGTATGTACATTAAAATATGTGGAGTTATTTTTTGTTGGTATACACGTTTAGTTTGTTTTTCTAGATCATTGTGTAATTCCCAAATATTGTTTGCTCTCTTTATAAACGTCATATAATGGTTACTACTGTATGCTATTGCTGCAACTAATATGTACCTATAATAAAATCCAATTATGTTATGTTTTAAAATTAATCATATAATATGAGTTTTTAATTAATTTAGTTTGCTTACTGTTTATTATCTACACTGATTTCCTGTGGAATATCTGTTAGTTGGCATGATAAAATATTGTCTGATTGGAAGACCAATGAATCGAGTTCAATAAATATATGCTCTTGAAGTTTTCGTTGTATATTTTTTTCTCCACCACAAGGCAATGAATTGTTAGGCAGCATACATATTTCAGGTCCACTTTTTACATATTTTTGTATCACTTGAGGTAAAATAGATATACCTTCAGCTATAACTCGAACACCATCTGTTGGACTCATCATTATTGTAGGCGATGATCGGCTTTTTTTATAATTTCGGCATTTTTGATTACTGCAACTTATATCTTCAACACAGCTAGGCGCTTCTTTCAACAGACCATGAATTATAAAGCTTACATTGCACTCTGCATTGATTAAATGGACATTATCAACACAACTATCTGAGGTAAATATAGTGTTGAGTAATTGCAATCTTCTATTGTACATTTTTGTTGAAGTTCCATGATTAGCAATGTCAACGACAAAGTTTAAAAATTCAATATTTTTTGAATTTATATACGAATGATATGATGGAAAGTCTGTAGAAGCCATTGCGATTCCAAACACCAATGAATCAAATGCACACGTGTTGCTGATAATATATTTTTTTTTTTTCAGGCTGCATGGAGTTGTCAGATTTCCATTTCGTAAAAGTACTGTTTTCGACGATCTTGTACATGTTCTACTTATAACTCGTTCAATTTCTGGAAATGCTTCTAAATATTTAGTTCTTCTTTTTTTAGTATTGTTTACGGGTTCTCCTGAAATACCTGTATCTATTGTTAATGAT